TGGAACGAAAAGGAGCACACGTGCGTCTACGTGAGCAGCAACGTCGCCTTTGGCTTCGCCTTCGCCACGGACGTCATCGTCGAGCAGACGCAGTTTTACAACCAGGAGGCGCCCATCGCCTACCAGCTGCTGCTGACCATCTCCACGCAGATCCTGGGCTACGGCTTCGCCGGCATGGCCCGCCGCTTCCTCGTCCGCCCCAGCGGCATGGTCTGGCCCGGCACCCTCATGAGCGCCGCCATGTTCTCCACGCTGCACAAGCAGGAGAACAAGCCGGCCAACGGCTGGACCATCAGCCGCTGGAAGTTTTTTTATGTCGTCTTTGTCTGCGCCTCGGCCTTTTACTTCCTCCCGGGCCTCCTCATGCCCGCCCTGAGCTACTTCAACGTCATCACCTGGTTTGCGCCCAAGAGCGTCGTGCTCGCCAACCTCTTTGGCGTCTCCTCCGGCCTCGGCCTCTTCCCCATGACCTTTGACTGGGCCCAAATCACCTACGTCGGCTCGCCTCTCCTGGTGCCCTTCTGGGCCGCCATGAACGTCGTCGGCGGCCTTGCCATCATCATGTGGATCATTGCCCCCTTGTTCTACTACAGCAACGTCCTCTACTCGTCCTACATGCCCATCCTCTCCACGGCCGTCTTCGACAACACGGGCAAGGTCTACGACGTCAGCAAGATCCTCACGCCCGACTTTCTCTTTGACAGAGAAGCCTACTCCAACTACAGCCGCGTCTTCCTCCCCGTCACATACATGCTCAGCTACGGCGTGCAGTTCGCCGGCCTCGCGGCTCTCCTGACGCACACTCTCTGCTGGCACGGCCAGGACATCTGGCATACCTGGAAAGAGTCGCTCGTCGAGGCGCGAGGACAGGGGAAAGAGGGATACGAACAAGTATCCGACTCTCCCGACGGTCCGTCATCACATCAGGGAGCAGCAGCACCCCGCGCCTCGTCGTCGGGATCGCATATCGAAGGCCTGATGAGCCACGAGGATATCCACAGCCGCCTCATGAAGCGCTATAAAGATGCCCCCGTGAGCTGGTACCTAGCCACTTTCATCTCCATGGCCGCCATCGGCATCTTTGTCGTCGAATAGTAAGTTCATACAACTTCCCCCCCTCCTTTTCCATCATCACATTCTTCGCCTTCATCAGCTCACACACACAACAACAATCTCAGCTACCCCGTCCACCTCCCCTGGTACGGCCTCCTGCTCGCCCTCGCCATCGGCGCCATCTTCTTCATCCCCAACGGCATCATCATGGCCATCACCAACCAGCACAGCAGCATCTACCTCATCTGCCAGCTCATCTGCGGCGTCGCCTTCCCCGGCCGCCCCATCGCCAACATGGTCTTCGTCACCTACGGCTACATCTCCTCCGCCCAGGGCATCAAGTTCGCCTCGGACCTCAAGCTCGGCCACTACATGAAGATACCGCCCCGCATCATGTTCACCGTCCAGATCGCCGCCACCCTCGTCTCCTCCGTCACCCAGATCGGCGTCCTCAACTGGATGTTCGCCCACGTCCGCGGCATCTGCACCCCCGAAGCCGTCAACGGCTTCACCTGCCCCATCGCCCGCGTCCACTTCAACGGCTCCATCCTCTGGGGCGTCGTCGGCCCCGGCGAGTTCTTCGGCCCCCGCGCAATCTACCGGGCGCTCGTCTGGTGCTTCCCCCTCGGCGCCGTCCTCCCCGTGCCCCTCTGGCTCTGGTCCCGCCGCCGCCGCCACCGCACCCTCCTCCGCAAGGTCAACCTGCCCGTCATCTTCGGCGCCATGGGCTGGATCCCGCCCGCCACCGGCCTCAACTTCTCCGTCTGGGCCCTCGTCTGCTTCCTCTTCAACTACCTCATCAAGCGCCGCGCAAACGCCTGGTGGGGCAAGTACACCATGACGCTCAGCGCCGCCCTCGACTCCGGCCTCGCCTTTGGCATCGTCGTCGTCTTCTTTGGCTTTATATACCCAGGCTGGATGAAGGGCTTCAGCTGGTGGGGGACCGAGGTGTACAAACGGGGGTGCGACTGGCAGGCTTGTTCGTTTAGGAACGTAAAGGAGGGGGAGAGGTTTGGGCCCGATTCGTGGTGATCATTTTTCTCTTTTTGGATGGCCTTTTTTAGGATATATATATATAGACTTCATCTGTTTGTGGTATATTACTGGACATTATGTGAATCACAGCTCCTAGTTTTGTTATATAGCGAGCAATATCATGGCAATGAATAACACACATCTGTTCCGCACAATTCTTCCGTGTTCTAAGCACACCAAATGATACCGTGGTATTCTCAAGCAAAGGAAAGCGAGAGTTGCATCAACCGATGTATAATCACACACACCTAATCAATTTGTAGATGGACATTTATTTTCTTGTGGCGTACAAGTAATTACTACTATACAGCGCAGTATTTCGCCCCCTTCCTTTTCCTTTCGAAGCTCGCCCGGCCCAGGAAATTCTATACCAGTGGTTCTTCCCTACCCTACCTTGACTGTTCGTTTTCTCGCTTTTCTTTTTGTTTGCATGATTTATTGCTCCGCCTGCCATTCGGGGTTCTGCACACACAGCACGTTAGTCAATACGTTCCAAACATGACGAAATCCAAGCGAGATTAAACAGGGCTCACCTTTCGCAGAATCACCACGCCCTCCAGGAGAGTGCTATTCAAGCTGATGTACTCCTCGTCTTCCAGCTCTGCTCGGTCGCCGTGGCTCAGCACTACCGGCGTGCTCTGCGTCTGCCAGCCGGTAATCGTCTTGGGCCGACCTGCCTGACCAACAACGTCCACCGCCTGACCCACGCGGACGTTGACCTTCAAAAGGTTCAGATCCTCATCTACCGTGACAAGGAACCTCGGGTGCATGGCGGGAACGAGGAAGTAGAGGAGGTAGTGCGAGGTGGAGGCGATAAAGTCCTTGGGGTCCAGCATGGCAATGATGGTCGTCAGCAGACCGGCCGTGGCGACGGGGGAAAGCACCTGTCGGTCCGAGTGGAACGGGTTCAGCGACAGAGTTCCCTTGCCCATGTGCAGAAGACCCTGTGCAATGCGGACCATGAACAGGGCGTCCTGGTCTCGGTGGTAGTAGCTGGCAAGCTGGCGGAGCAGCTGGGCCAGTCGAGCGTTGTTGGTGCCTGCGCCCAGCATGCCCATGGCGAAGATGGCGTTGATGGCGACTTCGGGGTCGTTATCGTGACTGTATCTTGACAGCGTGTCGTAAACCTTCATCTGCGGGTTGCTTGGGCTGATCAGACCCATGGCCAGGGGCACAGCCTTGCGGATGTTGGGCTCGCCGTAGTGCATGAGATGGCCAAACTGCCTCAGCACCATCTCCTGGCCAATGTCTTCTCCCATGGACACGAGCGCGATACCCAAGACCGCATACGCCTGCAACAGCTCGTCGCCCTTCTTATCATCCGACTCTTCCTGATGCTCGTTGCAAATGTGCAGCAGTTCCTGAATCTTGAGCACAGCGCCGGTGCCGGCCCAAGCACAGATCTCGGCCAGGACGGCTGTCGGCTTGGACATCGGGTGATCCACGGCCTTGAGCGTCTCCAGAATAACATCAACCTCTTCTTGTCGGCCGAAGAAGAGAAGACCCAGGCCGAGGGCCAAGAACCGCGTCCACTTGTCAGTCAGCTGGCTCTTGCGCTCTTCATCCATCAACGTCGTCACGATAGCCTCGCTCACTTCCGGCTGAGAGGTGCCGATCGCGATAAGACCGCAAGCGAGCGCTGCCATGGCGGAGATCTGCATGTCCTCCTTGGAGTCGGAGATCATAGGCATGATGAGATCAATGACTTCCTCCTTGTTGGAGCCGGCGTAGGCCAGCCCAAGTCCCATCAGACAGCCAGTGCGAACCAAAGGGTTCTCATGGTGGAGCTTATCAGCATCTCCCAGGAGCGCAATGGCCGGTTCGGATTCCAGGCGAACGCCGGAGTTCATAATGCCGATAGCGAGCATAGAGCCAGCGGTAATCTCGGGCTCTGTCGCATACGTGTACCTGTCCACGCTATCGAGGCCGTTTTCTATATCCCACATCAATAGGGTGCCGAGAGACGCAACAGTAGACATCATGCCCTCTCCCTTAGTCTTCCACACCCAGGCCTCCTTCTGGGAGTCGACGAGCATCATCTTATCGTTGCCGAAACCGGCATTGACGAAGGCATTGACAAAGGCGGCGGCGAGGTTGTGTCGAGCAGAGTCCAGGTTGGTCATGCCGGCTACCCGGCTGCTTTCCAAGTGGCTCTTGTAGATATCCTCGGTAGACTTGGGGTCAAGGATGTTCAGCTCCTTGCCCAGAGCCTTGAAGTACCCTGACAGCTTGATGTTATGCAGACACTCGTACAACTCCTGATCGTCGCTCTCATCCTCGCCTTCCTGGACCATGGGCATGATGATCCTCTGGCGAGAGATCAAAAAGGCCAGCTGCCGCTTGAGAAGGGGATCCTCCGCCTTGTCGAAGTCCTCCTGCAGCAGGTAGTAATCATGCAGCCGGATGGCGAGAATGACAGCCTGAGTATACTGCTTATATTGGATGTAGATGCTGTGGGCAACGCGGAGGAAGGTCTCGTTGTCGGGATACGTCAACAAGTTCACCATGGTTACCATGTACAGGCATACTCTGGGGTAGGTGTTCTCGTCGACGAACTTGGTGATTTCCTCGATGATCTCCAGCTCGCTCATCAGGTCCACGGCGTCGGCCTCCTGGTTGCTCTTGATGAAGAGGGGCACGAGGATCAGCGCCAGGTCGATGAGGTCCTTGGTGGGCTCATCAGCCGCGATGCGCTTGCCGTAGACCTCTCCAATCTCGAGGGCCAGATGCCGGACGTATTCATGGCCCCATGATCCAATGTCGGTCGTGGGGGCCAGCAGTCGGTACTTGAGTGTGTCTTGCCTGTCCTCGTCGGAGAAGGTCATGCCAATCACCGACAGGACGTCTGCCAGCGAGACCTTGTTCTCGTCGTTGGGCCACTCGTCGTACAGCTTGGTCAGGGTCTCGTAGTGCGGTCGTAGAAACTTGAGCGGCTTCGGTACTGCTGTCATTGACGATGTGGACGTCTTGATTGCGCTCTTCATCATCTCCAGGGCGGACTTGTAGAGGGAACTGTCGGATTCCTAGAGGCGAGAAGTAAGCTTCCGCAACTCCTCACACAGATAACGCAGCTGTGCCCCTCTCTCAATCTTGCTATTCCCCTCCCTTCTCTTCGCTGTTGTGCTATTCAGCAATACTTACTGTCAAACGCTCCACCATCATGTCTAGCTCGCTCTTAAGCTGCTGGTCCTCCTCATTGAGCTCCTCTTCGGCAGCTGAGGCTCAAAAGTCAGCCATTGTTGTCAAGCAGCACAAGGGCGAATGAGCGGGCGGGGCATTACCATCTTTCTTGTCGTCCTCCTTCTTCTTGCCGTCCGCGACAGCCTTGTCGTCCTTGACCTCGTCCACGGCCTTGCCCTTCCCCTTGTCCGCAGCCGGCGCCGGCTTGGGCAAATCGCTGTCCTGGGCCATGGTGACGTAGAGTCGAGATCAGGCGTGTGTGGTGTATAAACTCCCCCCAGCAACGACGTCGGGGCGGCGGGTGGTGGTGATGCGAAGGTGTGTCGTGAAAAGGACCGTTTGTAAGACTGTTAATGCAACGGTATCGGAAGCCCCAGTTGAGGGTTGAAGCTGCTCTCGAGTTGCGGGCGGAATCAGGTGGAAGAGGGTTGCTGATGGAGAAGGTGCTTGGTAAAGCTCTGGGCTGCTAACAGTACAGTCAGTAGCAAACAGCTGCTGCCATGGGCTATTACGCGAGGCGCTGCCGCCTACAGCGAACCAGCTACGTACTCCGAGCCCCAGCCTTACGATCACGTGCATTCGCCGCCCGGGATTGGGCCTAAAGACCAATGAAGATTAGCGCATCCATGCCTGCTTCGTCCTCCCATATCGATAAGATCTTGGGCCGAATTTCTTTCGTCTTTTATCACTGCTTGCTTGGGGAACCCCACCAACTTTTCAAGGGACCCCTCTACCAATATCAAAATCGAAGCAACACCAAGATACCCGGATGGCCAGACTGGTTTTTCAGACTTGATTTAGAATTTACATAGCAGTCGCCCGTTTATTCACACACAACCAGCCATGAAGTTGGACACCAGAGCAATGCGCCATCTGGCGGCCGAGGACTGGCGAGTCCTCACAGCCGTACGCCATCCACAGCGACCTACTTATACACAGCAACAAGAAATCAATGCTAACATACTGCAATCCTGTAGGTCGAGCAAGGCAGCAAAAACCACGAGATCGTGCCCACCCCCCTCATCGAGAAACTCGCCCGCCTCCGCGGCGGCGCCAGCGGCGTCCACAAGAGCATATCCGCCCTCGCAAAGGTCGGCCTCATCGCCCGCGTCAAGGAGGCCAAGTACGACGGCTACCGCCTCACCTACGGCGGCCTCGACTACCTCGCCCTGCACACCCACGCCGACCGCAAGGCCGTCTACAGCGTCGGCAACCGCATCGGCGTCGGCAAGGAGTCCGACATCATGGTCGTCGCCGACCACTCCGGCAAGCAGTGCGTCCTCAAGATCCACCGCCTGGGCCGCATCTCCTTTCGCACCGTCAAGTCCAACCGGGACTACCTCAAGAATCGCAACGCCCAGTCGTGGATGTACCTCTCGAGGCTCGCCGCCATGAAGGAGTACGCCTTCATGAACGCCCTGCATGAGGAGGGCTTTCCCGTACCAGTACCGATCGCACAGTCTAGACACACCATCGTCATGTCTCTGATAGACGCATTCCCCCTCCGACAGATAAGCGAGGTCCCCGACCCGGCCTCTCTCTACGCAGACCTCATCTCCCTCCTTCTCCGCCTGGCAAGCCACGGCCTGATCCACGGCGACTACAACGAATTCAACATCCTGGTCAAGGAGATCAGAACAAAGGCCGAGGATGGCACAGAGTCCGTCAAGCTCGAGCCAGTTATTATCGACTTTCCACAAATGGTGTCCATGGAGCATGTCAATGCCGAAATGTATTTTGACCGAGACGTCAACTGCATCAAGCGGTTCTTTACACGGAGATTCCATTTCACACCGACACAACCAGGGCCCTTTTTCAAAGACGCAAAGAAGACTGTTGGAAAAGGCGGTCTGAAAAGATTAGATGCTGCCGTTGAAGCGTCGGGCTTCACCAAAAAGATGCTGAAAGATCTGGAGGCGGCCATTAAAGACAAGGAGGGAGACAAGGAGGGGCAAGAGGGGGCAAATGAGGACGGGGACGATGACGAGTATGACGAGGATGAGGACGACGAAGAAGACAGTGAAGAGGATGATGGTGATGATGAGACAGATGGACAGCCTCTGCTGAGCGATGGGCTGTCCGGGGGTCTCTTGCAAGAGGAGCCGAGTATAGACAAGGCCAGCAGCGAAATGGCCAAGCTAGCAGTGTAGTTGTTGGTTCGTAAAGCAAAGATGATTCACGACATACCATACTATCCAACGACCAGTCATGTACAGAAACAGAGAAGTGGGCAATCTTGATAAAACAATATCTCATCATTGTGTTTGTCAAAACCATGCTAACGCCGCCAACCTTTGTCACAGCTGCCATTATCTAGACTCTAAAGTACAAGGCTTGTAAAATGCTCCCTTCATGCACCCTGATCCCGCGATCCAGCTGCCCCCAGACCTAGAACATGTGCTTCCATCGTGGTGCGTAAAATTACCGTGACTGTTGGGGTAAGTGGTCCCAAAAAAAAGTCCAAAGCAAGTAGTGGTAGACATGTTGAACCAGTCGGCATATTATGGCACAGACGTGCAGACCAAAAAGGCACAAAAACACAAAAGAACGAGGGCAACATGACAGATTACTGAGACTCCTTCTTCGAGACCTCCTTCTTGACGGTGGGGGATGGCTGAATATTCTCCTTGCCAACGGTGGCGACGACGGCCGGGTCCGCTCGAATCGTAACACTCTCATCGCACTCAGAGGTGGTGGGAGTCGAAACAGTAGCGTCCGCGCTCGTGGCCGCCCTAGAACAAGAGTTAGAACTTCGCAAAAATGCTTCGTGTATAACCATACGCAGACTGTGCACGAGGCACCGAGCTTCGAGTAGCGTTGCTCTCGTCGATCGACGACGCAGACAGGCCGCTGTGAAATCAATGTCAGTGACACACACTGTAGCTCCAAGTGCAGTGGAAACAAACCTTCGAGACTGGGGCAGGTTGCGACGCCAGTGGGCTTGCTGGTTGTACAAGGCAGGGTTCAGGCCAACAAGGGGAGTACCGTAGGCGCCGATGTTGTACTCGTTGGTGCGGAACTGACGGCGTTCGGCGGTGACTCGCTTCAGCTCTTTCTGGGCCGGAGTGTCGGCATAGCGGATGTTCATGGGAAGACCCTCCTCACCGATGCCAACGCCGTTGAACTTTCGAATGATTTCGTCGCAGATGTCGCGAGAATCAAATCTAGACACTGTCAGAACGAGAGCATTTGCGTGACCCGGGGCGAGAATCAATAGCCTACCGAGCAAAGCCAACGCCACGGCTGTTTCCCATGCTGTCACGAAGGATCTTGCTGGACTGGATGTGGTATCCAAGGAAGATTGTGGCAAGCTCCTACACCAGAGTCAGTGACAAAAACGCCACCAGGAACAGACTTGCAAGGTCAACTCACCATCTCGTTCAGAGACTTGGGCAGATTGGAGATGTAGAGATTAGTAGAACCCTCGTCACCCTCCGCCTTGAGTCGAGAATTGAAAGACTCCTGGACATGGTCAGCAGCGGCTCCTACAACCACGACGAACCGGAAGAGATCGCATTTAGAGCTTACCCGGGCGAAGCCAATCTCGTAGCCGAGGCGGTGGAATGCTCGAATGCACAGTTCAGAGTCGCGGACATCGTAGAACTTGGCGAAACCAAATCTGCGCTTGGTCAGCATCATCAGAGCAATCAGGGTGGGCAGCGGTGAGCAATGCTTACCCCTTACAAGCTCCAGTGTTAGTGTCGATGATGGCCTTGGACGTCTCAACGGCACCGAAACGGGACGTGAATTGGTAGAGAAGCTCGTCGTCGGTGGTAGGATGAAGACCACGGATATAGACGTTGCGATTGCCGGGGATACGATTCTCCAAGCTTTGTTCAAGAGTCTTCATCTGGCCCGGCGGGGTGAAGACGGCTGGGACTGCCTTGGGAATGGCCGGGTCCTTCTTGAGAAGCTCATCAATGGTACGATCCGAGATGACCATGGGAATCGGCTTGGTGTTCTCCATGGTGGCAAGTCCCGTAGCATTGGGAGATGGAGTCGTGTACGAAGACCGATCAAGGCTGGCAACACGGGGAGGATAATCGCGGACGATCGAAAACGCACCGCCGTAGTACGGAGTGGCAGGAGCGGACTCCGTAGTCGAATAGGAACCGCGACGATTCTCGAGACCTGGGACGTCAGAGTGGCCACGGTCAACACGAGGCTGAGAGGTACCAGGGCGTCCCGGGGTAAAGGGCAAGAGGGGCATCGAAAGGCCAACATAGGAGCCTCCGTAGCCACCTGCAGCAGCTGGGTAGTTGAGATAAGGGTTCTCGTTGGAATGACCAAGCCCCATCGGCTGCGCAGTCGGCACGGGGGTGAGGACAAACTGGCTGTCCGAATTGACCATGAACGCATGACCAGGTCCCATTGGGACAGGAGCGGCATTGTTGGACATGCTGAGACTACCCAGAGTCACCCCATTGAACTGATTGATGAGGGTGCCGAATTCAGTGGCTCCATGAGCGCCCCGTCCGGTGTAATAAGGATTGGCAACACCGCTGTTGGCTTCCATTTTGGTATCGGCAACAGTGTGAAGATGGTAAGACATGTGTTTGCCTGTTGGAGAAGTGGTTAGTGATGGGCGGTAAATAGAGCGAGTATGTGTATAGGGGCTGATGTCCCTATCTGACAGAGACGGCAGAGGCATGAAGGCAGTTGTGATGGGTGATGGAAGACATCGGTGTTGTGTTAGTGATGACGATTGGCCAGTGATTCAGGGTGTATTCCAGGTCGAGAGGAAAAGAGCGGATGGTGCGATGCCAAGAGGAGCGACGAGCCATGAAGCTGCAATGGGAATGACTTACCCAAAGAACAGCAGATCGGTCACGATGGTGATCGAGAAAATGACAAATGATTCGACAAACGGAAATCTTGACATGATTGACGAGTTAGCAGAGCCCAGTAAGAGTAGAGATATGCAGTGCCGAAGCCATTCTGGTGCAAGGCCTGCTTGACGGAGATGGGCGTGGAATGCAGACAGCATGGCAAAGTGATGGGCATGCTAGAGGAAGAAAGGCGAAGGAAGCCATAATCTGCATAGAGGAGGAGCAGTGAAAGGCCAAAACCCTTCCACCAGCTGGTAAATGGAGTACTTATCACAATGAACGAGGCAAGGCAGAGAGAAACAGAGAAGAGACCAAAGACCAGGAGGGAAAAGACGAGTGTCAAGAGTCATTCTCACCCCTACCCAGCCGTGGGGTTACGTGGTGTTGCAGACAATGAAGCTCGAAGGCCGACGCGGCAAATGTGCTACCAAGACAATTGTTTGAGATGAAGCGAGTGTAATTAAGATAGAACGAGCTATCAAGCAAGATGGAGGTGTCGAAGAGATTCGGCCGCGGCAGAAAGCTGCAAGAGAGTGACGGAGGACGAGTTGATGTGATGCTGTGAGGAGGAGGAAAAGAAGAGAAGAGGAGGAAAAGGAGCAAGAAGAGAAGAAGAGTCCCTTTGAAGTACTGGGTAGGCGGAGGAAGAGACGAGCAGACTTACCTAAGTTTGGCAGTCCCGTAGAAGAGGAAGCTGCAACAAAATCTATCGGGCCAAGAAACGGAAGGAGTCGCTGGAGATAAGGTCTTCCAAAGAGGGCGCTGGTGCAGGCGTGATGCTCGTGATCAAGCACTGGAATTACCGCCGGCCAAAAAGATGCGTTCGTGAGGGAGGAAGAAAGGCGGAAACGGCGAAACGAAGCGAGAAATGACGAAATGCCCTTTATGTGCTCGAGTTGACGGCAGGTTAGGGCTTGGAAGTGCTGCCAGCTGCCAGATGCCAGCTGTCGACCTGCTGCTGCCGCGTGCTCTGCCACTTTGGTGTTGCAGGCTGGCTCTATTTTCGCCTCGATTCTACCGATGCTGTTTGCCTTGACGAGGAGACAGGCACTGCCCGAAATGCAGGTAAGGTATATTTGGGTATGTCAGGTAGGACGAAGATGAGATGCTGGTTTGCTGATATCGAGGCTCTGGGCGAGTTGCAGGTCAGTAACTCCCTGGCATTTCGTTTGCAGCGGCGGTATTGCTGTGCTTCTTCGAGAACAACTGAATGCAGCTGAGCTCTTCTCACGACTGATCTGACCGTGACGATCCTCCAGGGGTTGGAACTTCTCACAAGAAGTATTATATCTGCTTCGGCCAACTTCAGACGATTGAGACTCCCGTCGACTCCAAGTACAAGTAAGTCTTCTCAATCGTTGCCTCCCCAGTCGCGTCGTTAAGGGTCTGTGCTGAGGGACAGGTGATGCTAGATTCAACACGGAAGCACCCCGTCGAGGCCTACAATGCCACCGGCTTCTGTCGAGGTTCGAGCCTTCGCCGCTATCTGAGCGCAGAACGTCGAATGCGCCTGATGTCACAGAAGGAGCCTGCGAAATGACTCCGCCGCAATCCAAACACACGCAAACAAAGTCGACAGGCTGCCATGCAAGGACGCATCCAGCATATAATGACACAAGGACGAGATAAAATTAGAAGAGGTAAGAATACAATCGAATCATGTGCAAATCGTCAGTGGGCGAACAGAAATGGTAAGGACATGCTCTCGACGGAGACAACCGCTGTCGAGTCGTCTCCCGGGTCTCGGGGCGCACCGTTTTATAACAACAACGGAGCAGACCAGCGTCATATCCCTTGGTAGGTGGGTGAATATTGCACTACTGTGACAGCACGTGTAAGCTAAACATCCAACAGCGTCTGTATCACTTACAACGATGCGACCAAGCTGTCGTTTCCTTTCTTTTTCTGTACTGGCTGTCAGACATGCGCACAGCCAGCCGTGATTCATCATTTGGGAGCCGAGGTACGTTGGCCAACCGAAATCCCGGCCACAATGAGACCAGCTCCATCTCTCAAGGGGAAACACTTCCATACTGCGCGAATGCCGGCAAAAGGGTCCCAAATCCACTCCATCGTTCGGGCCTCTCGAGCCTGTTGAACCCAGCAAGAAGCACGGGGCAAGCGGGAGCGGGCTGGATTTGCGTCAACCGGCAAATGACTGACTGGGTGTTAGTTGGAGTATAACTCGGGTGCTTTGGCAGGCCCATCTAACCAAGACATGTTGTTCGTCTGATGGCCGATCCTTTGCTTGGCCCGATACCGCGGGATGTTGCTTTTCACTGCCTCTGTCCAAGATTGGATTTTGCCTCCCATAGGCGTACCAGCCATGCTGGGTTCTGGATACAGAAGAGGTATTAATCTTGGATCATTCGTCAATAGGAAGAGCGGATATCAGGATTGCGGAAGCCCCCATGTGATTCCGGAGAGCCATCTCTTATCGTCATGTCGGGTCTTCCCGCAGGCACTGGAGCCGCGCTCTCTCTTTTGGCCATGGCATCGAAGAACCAATCTCCTGGCCCAAGACCGGTCTTTTTTTCGTTGCCCGGGAGGCTACAGCGCAAGCAAGGAGGATGGTGCAATTCCGCTTGCCTCCCTGGCCAACACACAGCCAATCCGAAGATGACTTTGCGCCGAGCACCAACCGTGACAGCTCTATTATTGCTTTTTCTTTTTTCGATACAACGAGGAGCATTAGTTTGATTGTCAAGGGTCGCAGACGCCACAGGCATACTATGGTCCAGAACACCGGCGCAGCATTGTTGACCCTTTAGGTAGGTAGACACAAGTCATGACAGGTCATTAACCAGATCTTAGTCGTATCTTGTGGTTGAGTGGCTGACTAAGGCGCAGTAGCATGAAGTGAAGTCTGAATCATGGGCCGAGGTGAGACACCTGTCCGAGACATCATATCAAATGACTTTTAAACCTGATACTAGTATGTCTTGGTAGAAGTGCTGGGACTACTCCGTGACGTTAAGGATGCATATTTGTACGTACAAAAACATCATAGCACAGATCCAATTATATCAAAAATATGTAGTGATATACTCATGATTCTCCCAGCCGTCATACATACTTATATCCAAGCCATCCATCCATCCCATCTCTATATACCTTACCTGTCCACACCAGATTCGACGCCCGAGCGGACCAAATACATCGACCCAAACAAAAAACAAGCAATCTCAGCCCGTGGGCAGCATCGCGGGCCCCCGCCATCTCTGATACTGTATATGTATATAAAGACATCCGACATACCCAGGTATTTTACTTCCAGTCGGATCTTTCACGATCTAAAATAGAAGACAAGCAAACATTCCAAGAAAGAAATGTTTGCGCATGGCTCTGATAAACAGACGAACGCCGGCAAATGGTTGAGTTCGCAGTCGAAAAAGATGCCGCCTCCTCCTATTCCGACAAGGTATTTTTGCGGTGTGTTTGCTTCTCTTGGGACGGGGAGGGTGACCAATTATTCCCAAGAAAAGTCTTTCAAATTCATCTTATGCTGCACGCAATTTTTTATGACCAGACATCCTCCTGTAGCGAATGGGTTAGTCACTCACTCACTGCATCTTGTTTGGGTGGGGGGTGGATGCTTGACAAAGGGGATGAGACATACCTGGTACTGGTTTGCTGCCCTCATGTTCTTGACAATCTCCTCCGCCTTGGCCTCGGACACCCCACGGCTCTCGGCAATGATCTGAGTCAAAACGGTGTTGACTTCACGGGCCATGTTGGCGGCGTCGCCGCAGACGTAGAAGAAGGCCTTCTGGGCCAGCAGCTCGCCGATCTCGGCGGATCGCTCCTTGAGGCGGTGCTGGACGTAGACCTTTTGGGAAGTCTCGCGGGAAAAGGCAGTGACCAGCTCGAACTTGTCGCCAAGGGCCTTCTTGTACTCCTATAAATGATCAGGTTAATCAACGGGCGTCAAACTGGAAGGGAAGAGTTGGGTGGCACATACTTCAAACTCCTGTTCGTACATGAAATCCTCAGTCCTCTTACGGCAGCCGAAAAACAAAATGGTACGACCGACGTTGATGCCGTCGCGCGCCTGCTGAGCACGCTCCTGGACGAAGCCGCGGAAGGGCGCAACACCAGTTCCAGGCCCGACCATGATGATGGGCTTGGCGGGGTCGGAAGGTAGCTTGAAGTTGGAGTGGCGGATGTGGACCGGGACGTGAATGCCATCGTACTTGTTGCGGGGGCCATGCAGCTCGTAGGTCAGACCAAAGGGCGACGGGTCGGGGTCTCCGTTCTGCTTTTGCTTCAGGGCGAGCAGGTAGTTGGTGGCGACGCCGCGGAAGGGGTCCTTTCGGCCCATGACCATGGACGACTCGACGACGGCAGTGACGGAGACCTTCTTGGGCTGGACGAGAGACGAGGACGAGATGGAGTAGTAGCGGGGCTGCAGCTTGTTCAGGCCTTCGATGAAAGCAGAGAAGGGGATCTTATCCCAAGTCTCTCCGTTGCTGACGTGTTCCAGGAGGCGAGCGATGTTGAGGAGCTGCGAGGCGGTCTTCTCGTGAAAGTAGTCCTTGTCGCTACCGAGCCGGGTCATCTCGTTCTTGATTTCCTCGTTGGGGGCAAAAGCAGCCAGGGTGGACACAAACTGACGGGAGACGGGAGCACCAATTTCCAAGTGGTAGCGGACAATGGCGTCGAAGGTGGTCGGCGTGGGGAAGGGAACCTTGGCGGTGGGCTCGAGAGCCTTGACGGTGATGACCTGGTGACGCTTGTCGGTAAGCCCAGTGATGCGCAGGAACCGATCCACCTCGTCACCGGGGTTGGTGGGCCAGATGGCAATGTGGTCGCCGGTGGTGTACGAGAGGGTAGAGCCGCTAATGTCGATGTCCAAGTGGATGCAGTTCCTGTCCTTGACCTTGAACAGCTCGTAGGACTGGGCGATGGGGGCAATGTACGGGTTGTGGGCGTTGAAGGGACCCTTGGAGGCGCCCTCGAGGTGCATCTTGTTGGGCTCGCCGAGGTAGACCTCGGGGGACTCCGGAGTCAGGCCTTCGCGCTCGACAATGCCAAAGACGGGTTCGTAGACAGCCTCGCGCTCCTCCAGGCCCATGTGGGCAGCCAGAGCAGCCCACATGGGTTCCTTCCAGGCCAAGAAGTCCTCCTCCATGGTGCCGGCGCCGTCGTCGCCTTCACCAGCGTTGCCAATGCGATGAGCGCCATACTTGGTCAGGAGCCTGTCGACATCTCTGACCATGGAGTTGTAGTGTTCGTAGGTGTTGTTACCGAGACCGAAAGCGACGTAGTGGAGGTTGTCGAGAGGAGCGTCCTCGGCGCCGCCGCCCTGCGAGAAGGCGACGTCTTCTCCGTTGAGGAACTCGTAGAACTCGACGGCGTTGTCAGTCGGCTCGCCCTCGCCATACGTGGCCAGAACGAAGAAGGCGATCTTGTCCGAGGGCAGCGTGTCCAGGTTGTCAAAGTCGTAGTCCTCCAGGTCGGCGACCATGGTCTCGAGGCCGAAGCGGCTCTTGCCCTCCTTTGCCAGGCGAGAGGCGTAGTCCTCGGCGGTGCCGGTCTGCGAGCCGTAGAAGATGATGCAGTTCTTGCCCGACTCCTCCATCTTCTCGACGAAGTTGCGCGTCCGCCCGACCCGGTTGGCATTGCCGTTGAGGTACGCCGGGTTGGCGTAGGGGTCCTTCTGCTTGGCCCATAGCGTGCCCTTTGTGAAGTAGGCGACGGTTCCCAGCAGGATGACGCTCAGGACCAGGATGTCCAACGTGTCCAGTTCCGCCATGGCGGCGGGTGCTGCAGCAGCAACGACAGACGATGCTCTGCGACTTTCTCCGGAGTTGAATTCGAGGCCCGACTCGGCGAATCAGCGACAAGCACAAGAGAAAAAGAAATCGAGCAGCAGAAACCGGGTGCTCGAGAGGCTGTCTCGCAATCGAGTCTCCCTTGCAGCAGGCAAAAAACTAAATGTGGCCTTGGCCGATTAAATAAGGCTGGCGTCCGACCAGCGAGCGGTTCTGCGCGGTCTAGGCCGGAATATTAGCACGGGGGAGGGGTATCGGCCAGAGATTGGGTGGGCCGTGGCGCGGAATCGAGAGACCCAGCACTGGAGCAGACAGATAGAGGGCTGGGAGAGGCTGCCGGTCAGAAGCCACGGCTTATGGAATCGGATGCTTTCTCTATTTTTGTTTGCGGGCAAACGTCAGCCCGACTTGAGTGTCGATTCAAACTCTCACAACCTGAACCTATCAGGCAGAGAGTCTATACGAGAACTGTGGTATGTAATAGAAGAGAGGAAAGAATGGAACAACTGGCAAGGAAAAGAACAGAAACTAAAAGAAGAAGAATGCTGCCTGGTTTTCCTCTGGCCTTGGAGGGGGGAAATAGGATCCTTTTTCAACACATTGATCCTCAGCTTATTCTGACCGGCAGTGCTGCTGCTTCTACAAGTACTGGTACGCTGCTCCTATCTGATGGGGGAAATCTCCGCCGCAGTGCCGGGCCCGCTCCGTCGACGGACTACGGAGTCGTGGTGCAGGCCGCGTACAAGTACATGGTGTGAGACAGGCGAAGAACGAACCTTGCCTTTGAAGCCTGTGATAGCGCTTCAACGGTACATCTGGCAAGGCTGGATTTAGTCCGTGCATCTGATTACTACCTCGCATGTCTTTAGTGCTGCTCTTCTAACAGATCGTGATCCTGTCGAGATTCCATCGAGCCATCTGACTGGCGGAGTTGGTGATAAGGTAAGAGGCCACGTTGTAGGTATTACCAACTATTGGCGAGCAGCAACTCGAAATCTGCACGTCTGTCCTCATTCGACCAAACGTACCATGCGACACCTTGAAATCAAACTGAGGACGTCTGTTCGGTACATGAAATTAAGGTATCCAGGTAGTAGCGGTATTGAAGAAGTCCAGGATGTGAGCAACTCAAAGCCTCTTACAGCAATCAACTGTATCTACCGAGGTGGCCATGGGAACCAGGCCTTGGGGTTCATTATGCCATGGACAATACACCCATTCACTACCATCTCTAATAAACCCTCGCTTGATCGTGCTTTGACCAGTTCTTGAGCCATTTTCATCCCACGGCCACGAATCCTGCACTTGATGCATGCTAGTTTTGCACCCGGCACATACCCAGCGGGGCAGATGGTCTGAGATTGTTGCTTCTTCCATGTCAACAACTTGAAGCGAGACCCGACGTGCAAAACCCGAGTACGGGGTATGGAGTCCGAGTCGTACGGCGCCGTCGGGAATTCAACGAATGGCACCACCCGAGGTACGGATCAAGGCATCGGTCTGTGGGCGGATAGCCAGGTACCATGCCGGTCCTCATCCATACCTCTGCGAGTAAGGGATTCGCACTCCCTGCTTCTAAAGCCCTCTCTGTACGAGTACGCTATATCCCGTGCCGCTATACGCGTAGTTGATGCTGTCTATATGGCATCAACTGCATGTTGTCGTGCAGGAGCTTTCAGATTGTACTAAGACACAGATGCGAAGACCTACTATACTGGAAGTCGGTGGAAGCGATCGAAATCGGATCGGCCAGCCGTGAGGAGACGCCCACGATGAAGAGGGTTACACTCATGTCACCGCGCATGCAACAGTAAGCCATGACTAGGCCTTGGTGTAGATAAGTGATGATGCCTACATTGAACGAAGTACGCAATGCCGAGGTCTTTTTCCGTCGTCCAGGTTGCGATTTGCCTTCGCCGGACCCCTTGCCTACCAAGGTCACGGTTGATGCCAGGACAAGTGGGTGTTTAGACATTCGCCCGGAGCCCTCCGGACTGCATCTGCAACAGCATGATGCCGCGGGCTTGCCATCGCTCCGGCGCAGGATAGGCATCGACTTCGGCGCACAAGGACTCGCAGTTGTGTATTAACGGGCTTCGACCAGGAAACGAGCAGCGTCATGGGCGTTACTCTCAACTTTGGCCGAGGGGCGCGTCTTCGGGAAGTCCGCGGATGCGATCGGCAAGCTCTCAGTCAGCCCTCGGGAAAGCCTCCTGATTATTTCATGGCTACCAGAGGACGTTCACCTAATACAGATCACGAATGGAAAGACAGCCGTAGGAGAACAAAGCAAGTTGCCGTGGATAGATCCGTTGAGTTGAGGATCTATCCGCTCCCCGCGAACTTACTGTTTCCCATTGCCGATTCCGATTCCCCAAGACATGGGAGTGCCAGCGCTGTTTGGTAAGTACTGTTTGCTAGAATACGCCACCTGACGCTATTTGGGCCACGACGCCGGCAGATTGGTACTGTCAAGTTGGGGTAGCAAGTCTCGGCATCGAGCTCGAAATCCACGGCAGCTGTCGAGTGTGTCATGACAATTACAGTGAGCAAGGCCTTGACATACCCAGAAGGTGAGGCATGCTTCTGATGCATGCACCCGTGGGACGTTCCTTGCACTCAGCTTTCCTGCTCCTCACTTCCCCTTCCTTTTCGATATTCAACACCATCCACTCAGCTCTGCAAAAGGTATGCATAACCACCATGACGACAGAGGCGGTGGTCATGCTTCTCCCCGGCGGCAATGGCGTCCAGGACAGCAGCCTATTCGCTACCCTGGAATCCGCAAATTTTTATCTGATTCTCCCTTACATGCTGCAACCAACACGGCCCAGAGCAACCCCACAGGAAAAGGAAAAAAGACAAGAGTCAAGGGAGCAGAAGGCAAGGGAGAGAGAAAGAGAGGGCGATTACGGAGGAGAGAAGAGGCTGAAAAGAGCCCCAGAGGCAGCGCAGGAGAGACAAGACAATGCTATTCAGATTCCGACCTAGCTCCGCATCCCGGAGGACCCTTAATCCGCGCCCAATCGTCTGCCCGCCAATCTGCCCCTCCCTCTATCACGTTCGACACAGCTGATAGGACCGGCCCAAACGCCCTTGCAGCTCTCGCAAGACACCTTCTAAGAGCCCAGGCGGCTGGGGAGAAAAAAAAAAAAGGAAGAAAAAAAGAGAGGCAGAGTCGAAAGAGCCCAGAGACCGGGGGCCATATAAAGAATTAGCCGTGCTCGCTCGGGGCAGCGTAACGGGGAGCCCAGGCTAAATTAACTCTGCTGCTGTGCTTCCCTGCTCTGTGCTTCCCGGCTGCAGCCGTGTTCGTTGTACTTGGCTGAGAGCTGTTTGGCGTCATCGTGGGAACAGCGCAAGCTTTGTGTCGAAGGCAGATGATGGGATTGGGCTGCGGTCCGCTTCGAGATGGGTGAGTAACCGAACGACGGAGAGAGGAAGAGAGAGAGGCGGTGGCAGTGGCGGATATGGAGAGACGAAGAGGAGGAGCGAGGGAGCAGAAGAGAGAGAGAGGAACAGCGAGAGCTGCGTCGACCCTTGTTCCAACCCCCGGCTGCTTGATCGATCGATCGATCGATTGGTTAATCAATGCTGTCGATGTACGATCAAAATGTCGGACGGCGATGCCTTCAATGTTGTGCGGTGTCGATGGCCGCACCACGAGAACCTCATTGCTCCAACGGTTAGTTGCTGACAGATGATCGCGCGCAGTGCCCTCGCAATCGGCGCCGGACAACCCCCACGAACCTGCCAAGTTCCCGAGGTCAGCGGCGAGGCTCGATGAAGATGCCGAATGGGATCAGACATATCGACCTCCAGCCGTCGACCCGGCCTTGCGCCATCCCCATCCAGCGCCTCCCCCCGAACCCGCCGAGAAGACGATACCGGTGCCCTTGGTCCTCACATCGCCGCGAACCCTCGGCCCTCACTCACGATCCAACGCCGCCGGGGGAGCTGACCAGCCTCCCCCCACGGCCAAATCCGCCTATGGCCATCACCGCCAGACGTCCATCGTCCACGGCATCCAGCATTCGAGAAATGGCAGCGGCGCGAGCTCCTCGTCCAATCCGCTCAGTCCCCAGATGATTGCGGCCGCTGGGCTGGGGCTCGACCGCATGGACGTTCAGTCGGCCATAGCACGCTTGGAGGGAGATGCACTTGGGCCACCCAGGCCTGTCGCTACACCGACTGGGCAGACGACGAGCTCCGGCGATGGAACATATCCGATGAAGCGGTCGCCCTCCGGCAACGGCGTCACGCCCCCAGGCACAGCTCCTTCGCGCAGGGCAGAGAGAATGCATAGCAAGTCGAGGCGAGACCATCCGTCACGCTCGTCCCGCCACCATCGAGACGAGCAGAAGACTGTGGGCGAATATGCTCTGCATGTGCTGTTTACGTCGGTGAGTGAACCATGACAAAGGGACGTTGAGATAAAGATGACATACTCACACGCTGGTTGTACAGTTCATCGCCCAAGCCGAGGAAAAGCTCAACGAATGCATCACCACCCCCTTCGAACCCGAACCTCAGATTGACAAGATATGCGGCCCCGGCGTCGATCCGGCTTTCGACCAGCTCATTGTGGCCCTTGGCCATATCGCGAGCCCCAAGCCCAAGAACTTGATCGACTCGATGATGCTCTGGAGGAAGAGCAAAAGCGATGCGGCCAACGAGGCGAGAGCTCAGCTGCAACAATCACGAGCGGCGCAGCCCATGTCGCCGCTGCTGCGCAGAAACACCGAACCCGTCCCAATCGGACCAGTCATCTCCAATGGCTCCGACAGTGGCCTCTCGAGCGGCAGTTTGCTGGCCTCGAAGCAGGAGTTTGTGGCCCAGCAGGAACGCCGCTCGACCGTGTCCATCTATATCCTCTGCCGCGTATTGCTCGAGGTCATTTGCCAGAGCAGCCTGGCCGCCATCACCCCCGAGGTGGAAGACAAGCTCGAGAGCATCATCTTTGGGCAGCTCAAGATTGCCG